CCCCCCCCCCCCGCCTTCAGCTGTGTAAGTTCAGCTTAAAGCTTTCAGCTTCCCTTAGTGGTCCTTTTGGATCATCTAATGTCTTCTAAGGTAGTTTTCCCAACCTCATGGTTTAGTACATGAGATACCTTAGTGTAAGATAACTGGCACACAAATTTTACTTTCTGAAATTAGGTCTGTTGAAAGCTATTCACTGATTAAAATTCCAGTGCTTCAAAGCATCTTGAGACTTTCCACTTAATTGCCATGTGTCATCTCTGTTGAAAATGTTTGAATTGAAAACTCCAGGTAAAAGTGCTTCCCTGTGGTGCAATGAGTGCATCTCCTCCCCCCCACCCCCTTCAGCTCTCTCTGAGGCTTTTGGTGAGGTGTCTCCCGCTTCAGGAGCAGCAGCTTAGCTGTTTGAGATGTCCTAGCCCGTAGTGTTATCAGCCCAGTTCCCCAGTAGCTGGGGCAAATAAAATCCAAATACAATACTAGAGACTGAGACAAAAGGAGTGGATTTACGCTTGCCTCATTTGGATGTCCTCCATATACATTTTTAGTCTCTCCCACCTGTATCATGTAGAGATGTTCCATTATTTAGGAGTGAGAAATTACCCATCTGCTGCACTATTTCTTTTGCACATTTCTTTCTGTTTTTAACACCTTATGGGGTATTATAGTGTCTGGTTACATACTGCATTTGGAGAACGAGAGAAGGGTTTGTAAAGGCTTGAGAATTCAGTTACGGAAAGAGCACAAGGTGTTCTATGTAGCATATTATGTTCCGGAGACTTTATTGTACTTTTATATCGCTGCTCAGTTTTTTTCATAGCACATTTCCTGGAGAATAACGCCTGAGTTGCTTTCCTCACGGCAAAATATTTTACCATATGCGAGTGCTGAGAACATACAATGAACATACATTACAGCTTTGGCACTTGCCTGGCTTTTCCCTCCCTCCGCAGAGGGGGAGAAATGTAACTTGGCATTCACTTCATTACGGTTGTTCTGCACAACAAAGTGACCGAGTCCATTTGTCAAAGTGCTTTCTGCTCGGCCCAATAAATGTCCTCTGCGTGATGTGTGTGATCTAAGGGCTACATCCTGTGCGAAATGCTAAATTGAAGGCTAATTCAGTATTGCACTGAGAAGTCTAGCCTTTGCTTTTTCTGACAGCTCGGGAGAATCACAGCACTGGGAACGTGCACCCCGTAGCTGGTGATAGGTGGTGTGGCTGTAGGAACGAGCAGGAGCCAGGAAGAGCAAACCTTGCCTCTGGATTTTGAGCTTAAACTGTGACTTAATTTGAATTTTTACCTTCGAAAAATATTTCTTTAAGAAATAAAATCTTTTTCTTTGGATCTGTCATCAAAACATTTGACAATAAATGAAAACTTGCAGATTCCTATAACACAGTTAAAATGTTAATGTTAAAGTTGTTGCTTTCTACTATAAATGTTACTTTGAAGTGGAATTCTTGTGTGTCACCACATACATTAGACAACCTGTACAGCATTAGGGATTTTTTTTCGAGTTCAGATCTTTAAACTGCTGGATTGAGAAATACCAAAATCCCGAAATACCATTCCTCGTGTCAGCCGTGCATGGTGGTTGGTGGGAGAGGTGTGTGGGAAGGTTACAGCTGTTGCATGGGAGATGAGGCCCCCAATTCACTTCCCCTCTACCTGTTGTGAAAGTGTCTGTTTGCCAGGACTCTAATATCTCTCTTAGATTAGGACGACCTGTTTATATTGCTTTCCTTTCAAGATGCTGAACTTCTATATGTTGAAAGAATCTTATGATTTATTAGTAATAGAAGGATTAGCTCTTGTGCATATGCCCTGCTTTGCATAAGGCCGCAGTGAGTAAGCCTCAGTGCATCGGTTTCTTCACTCTCCTAAAAAAAAAAGAACCTGGTTCAATTAATTGAAAAATATTTCCAATTATCTGTATATTGCTTTTTGTTTGCACAACAGTTAGGTTGTATAAGGAGGCCTCTAGTTTGTGAACTGATTTGGGAGAGTTTTTTTTATTTTTGAACACTGCCTTGTGACCTAGTTAATTGGGAGTAATTACTGTCTAAATATATTGGTTTAACATAACAAAAGGCTGTCTGGAAAAAAAACAGAGAAGGGAAAGAATGGCTCAAGATAAACCACCCCTTTGCAAACACTTAAGAGTTGTTAAGGGACATCTCCAGAGCTATTAGCAGGGAAGGTTTTAACTTCACTATTGTAATTTAGCTCCTGAGGCTTGAAACGAAGCAGCAGAGCAAAAGAATTGATCTGAAAAGGAACGGTTTCTCTGGTTCTGCGGGTAGTATTTTGTTGGAAAGGCACTTGACACGTAAGAGTCAGGGATGCCCTTGGAGAGAAGGGAGTGGGATACCTGTAGTTAGAGTGGATTTGCATGATAATATGGAGCTATAATCTTTCTTTGCTTCTTTCACCACTCTCTCTTTCTAGAATCTTGCTATTAGGACTAAAATTGAGCACTGCTGTGATTTTAAGTAGGCTCACCTGGTAGCTGGGGTGATTTCTGATTGCGAGCTTTTTTCAGGAGCTTGAGCTTAAATCCTGCCAGACCTGCTCTGAAAGTATGGCAGAGCTACTAACTGTTGCAGTCCAGGACTGCTCTAAAAATGAAAAAAAATTGCTTCATTTAGGAAAGGTAAGGAGGGCCTGACACCTGAAGGGCTTTGTTAAGAAAGAGATGTATGGTCATCCCTGTAATTAGGAGAGATCAGTCATGTAACTTACACCGGCTGGGTTTGGCATGCTCATCTTAGTTTCAAAGTTGTTTGGTTTATAATAATAATTTATCTCATACGACAGAGAGCAAAGGGGTAGTGTGGTGCAAGTCACACCTAGGAGGAGTAAGAGAAAGCAGGACTGACTGTGTAAGCAGAAGCCTTTAGATGATAACCCCTTCCTCTCTAGAGGTCGAACTCTTCATTCCTGCCCCTGAAGTACATGCAGCTGGTGCTGTGCAATTACAGCTGGGGCAGAAGGGTAAAGACCTTAAATAAAAAAAAAAAAAGGTGTATATATATTTTTGTAAAAAAAGAGACAAATTTCAGGGCCTTGAGTGTGTTTGACCTTGAAGCCACCTCTCTCATTGATGTTTGCACTTGCTTGTAAACTCCACTGACGTTGTGCGTATAGTAGAAAGGCAGAGCAGCAGGGTGTACTACTTACTTGCAGGTTCTTGAGACTCAGGTAGCAAATAGTTTGCCTCTGGAAATAGCACTCAGTGCTGCATTCAAACCCACACTTGAGGGGTTTTGGGGGTAGGGAAGAAGGGGGAGCCCTGTCTCTTGGAAACAAAAGTTAGCCATGATACCTTGCTGGCTTTGCTGGTTGTGTTAGCAGAGAACATGACTAAAATGTGAGCGCTGTGGGTATCTCTTGCAGCACAGCAGTGCCATACGGCCTCTCAGTGGCTATCTCTTGGGGTTGTCTGTGTCAAAGAACTTGAACTTAAGTCAGATTTGCTTTGTCATCCTGACTTTGGCTCTTGTGACTTTCGATTTCTCTTTAGTTTCTGGAAGCTTCTTTTTAATTTTCTAGTGGGAAGGCCAGGATGTATCTGAACATCTTGTAGGTGTAGGCTCACCCTAAACAAAACCTGCTTCACGTTGATCGAAATGGTGGGAGCGGGAAGGTGGGTTTGTGAATATCTGATCATAAAAGGGTGGCAAATCTGTTTTTCAGCATGTGTTGTTCTTTAGTTAGTTTTTAACTAAATGCTGCAGACAACTGGGGTTGTTTCCCAATGGCAAAGCAAGCAATGAAATATGACACAGGGAGGGGAAGAGGTTGGCAGCAGGCCTATGTGCACAAATAGCCCACTACCTTTTGAAGTGTATTTGGAGCCAAGCAAACAAAAAACAGTCAGGCTGCCTTACAAAGAATTACAGTTAAAATCTTCCCCATGAAACTTTTAATTTTTCCTCTCGGTGTCAATAAAACGTCATTACTGACTGCTTCCAGAATCATAACTCACAAGATGTGGTATGTCTGAAAACGGGTTTATGTAGTAGTGTATTAGGGAGAGGAGGAGCTGTGTGTCTGTCTTTTGTAGCTCTTAGAATACCTTTTGCCTTGGGTTGCTGTAATACGGGAGGAAATCCTAGCGAAAACTAAACTCTAGATCATAGTGTTAGCTGGTTGAGCGAACAGGAGTCTCTTGGCACAGCCCTGTTGCGAGTTATGTAAATCTTGTGCAGTGTATAAGCAACAGGCGGTTGGTGACGTAAAACTGAGCATTTGTCTCTATTTATTGGCTAATGTGACATGCACCCTTCCTGTAGCATTTGACTGAGCTGGCTGTATTAAATATAGCCCTGACACTCCTAAGTAGAAAATGCCTCGAGCTGAATAATGGTTTCTAGTCTGAAATTCGTTGTTCTAAAGGTGGAAATCCTACACGGTGGCTCTTTTGTCTCCCCTTCGTATCAAAGTCCGCTCTGCGTTGATGGCCAAAGGCCTCGCTGTAAGGCTCAGTTGGCTGGATTTGCCAATTGATCGCCGTGGCCATGTTGTGCAGAACATTCCTCCAGTGCCTCCTAACGCTTTGGCTGTGCGCTGGGAGACTTAGCAGGATGTCGGTAACACGCAATGTGATTATCTTTTGTCATTTGTGATGGATTACCAAACTGATACATCTGTTGTTTAGGTCCTCTCCCAGCCGCCCCCATTGTGGGTGCTTCACCGATCTGCCTAATACTGCTATTACCCCCTTTGACCCCAGCTCCAGTGCTATTAGCTACTACACTTGGGATCCCCTGTGTTTTCTGTGAGGAGAAAGCAGGGATATTTCTCTCATGCAGTTCTGATTATCCAGAATGTCTTGTTTTATTTTTTTTTTCCCTGTGAACACTGTAGGAATTGAACAGGAGGCAGTTTCTTTGCTCACCGTTTTGAGCCTCTTTCCAGCTGGCAAGCAGTCCAAAAAGCCCTATGTTTGCTCTTTCTCAGGGTCACGCTGCAAATGTTTCTCTTGCTTTCACCTTGGATTTCTGGCTTTGGTTTAGACACATGACGCTCCACCACACAATACAAACCCTTAGTATAGCACCGTGCCCATACAGTGCAGTTTCTGACGAGCTTTCCGCATGGCTTTGTTTTTGATGGTGGTTCCCAGTTCTTGAAGGCTTTGGGTTTTTTTCTATCCTGCTCAAAAAAGCAACACGGATTTTTGTGATCATGAATAAAAAGTAGTTGTTATGCCCATTGCATTTGGTGAGATTTTACTCGTCTCTATTCTCACAGCACCTACTCACAAATAAATTAGGGGCTCAACCTCACAGACAGGCGTAAACAGAGGAATTACATGACTTGCCAAACACTTACATAATAACTTAATAGTATATCGTGGAGCAGCAGCTAAGACTCATGAATCCTCTTCCTGTTTGACTGTTCCTCTTTTCAAATTAATTATCATATGAGTTTCAACTACACCACTGCTCAGGAATCAATAGCATTTGTGGCTTTATGAATGTCCTTAATATATCACAGACTTCCACTGTCATTTGTCTTTATTCAGTAAGAACTTTCGACTCAAATGGTTTATAAGTTCCCTTGAGTTGTCACCATCCAGAGCTGAGCAGGCACTTTAATGATTAATAAATAGTCTTAAAGTACTCATGGCTCATACATGACCGTATGTTTCAAAAGCGACAAGGCTTGAGTTATTAACCATAGTTGCTGATGGCCCCAAGAGCCATTGTAAGAGCGTTCTTTGTGTTTTGTTCTCATCATGTGCTCTTTTTTGGACCTTTTGTGCCAAAATAAAATGGAGAATTTCAGTCCTTTGGAAATTAGCTCAGGAAAGAAGGCTGGTATAAATAAACTGCCTGGTTGTTTATATGCTGCTGCATTGCACTTCCCTCAGTGTCTGTTGAACTTTTTAGCAAATTTCATAAAGAGCTAATGGGGTAGAGATCTCCAAGACTTGCAAGTTCCAAGATTTCCAGTGAAAATAAGAAGCAGAGTAGAAAAGGGGTCTAAAATAGTGTCCCTGGCAAGTAAAATGTTATATTTTGAGCTCTCTTACCTTGGAGAATCCACGTGTGATAGAGAAAAGCTTTAAAAAAACTTGAGTAGCAGAGCTAATATAGTCTGGATAGTATTTTTGCTTAACTGTTTAAGATGACATATGTAAACCTGTGAAAAGGACTTGACCCACCTGTACTTCAGGTTGTAATCTCTCATTTTTACTTTCCAGGAATCTACAAGCCGCCATTGGAGCCTACTATGATTTCGAGAGTCCAAATATCAATGTACCCTCCATGTCCTTTGTTGAAGATGTCACCATAGGTGAAGGAGAGTCCATCCCTCCTGATACCCAGTTTACAAAAACATGGAGGATACAAAACACAGGTAAGGCTTTTAGACTGTAGCAAAACCCCCATAGCGTATATTATGGGATAGGATGGCAGATCTAATAGAAGAGGTGCTGGCTTAAGGCAGGGGGTTCACTTAACTGGGAATAGAGCCACCCTGTTCCTGAAGGAGGTAGCCTGCCAACCCATGCGTGTTCCCCTTCTTACATTGGCACAAACATTTTGTTGCAAGATGTGCAGCTCAGTCAGTTCACGAGTCTTGTTCCTTGTGCCAGCACACAAACAAAATCTGTAGGAGACTTCCAGATAAAATAAATTGAAGTACAAGGGGTTTGGGGATTTTTTTTTTTTATGAAAGCAGTTAGATCTGAAAATAGATTAAGAATCCTTAGCTAGTCGTGTTTCTGATCACTCCATGCAAATGGACTATGTTTTTAAGTCAATGAAGAGATGGCTTTCAGTCTGAAAGCCTTTTAGCTCACGAGCAGCACTACCCTTCGTCACACCATTTCTCTGACCGTCCCTGTTTGGACGTTGGGCTCTGGAGAACCGTGTTCTCTGTGGAGGCAGTGATGCAGTGAGCTGACTGAGAAGAGGTAGCGATGCAAGGGTAATGTGGCAGGTACCCTTTACTTTTTATTACACTTTGACAAAATTGTTTTCTCGTGCTCTTGAGAGGACGCAAGGCTGGAGAGACCACATTCCAGTATGAAATAAGTCAAAACAGTGACTGGGATCCAGGAAGTGAGACTAAGCAAAACACATTCTCAGGGCTTGATCTGTTGGGATGTAGTCAGAGAGAAAAATGAGATCCATGGATGCAAAGTGGAATACCTTGTCTTCAAGCATTGAAGTGACAGGATGTTGCATGAATGTTTAAGCTGTGTGTCTGAATTTAATTGACCTGCTTGCACTTCTGTGAAGAAGAATGATAGCACAACAAGGTATAATGTCATGAATCATCATGAGTAAAGTTCAGCTGTGTTAATATTTCTACTTGTAAATAACTGCAGTGCTGGAGTGCTGTACAGATTTGTGCTGAATACCAAAGTATAACAGAGACTAAAACCATATGAAAAATCCACAAGTATTTCATCAGAACATGGGAGATGAGAAGAGGGGGGTGTGTGTGTTTAGGAACACTGTAGAGACTGTATCTTAGAGGAAGGGCTTAATTATTTCAGTTTACTTTTTCTGCCTCCATTTGTTGGACTTAGTACAGTGGGAAGGCAACACATATGGCTGGCTTAAACTCCAGTAATGTGAAAAATTGACTGGCATTTTTTTATAAATGTCTCAAATACAGGTCTTAATGTAGTAAATTTGACAGGTCTTGTTTCTTCACTACTAGTATCTTAATTTGTGTATGTTATGACTACGCCCCTACCTTTTCTCCTTTCAGACTCCTTCCTCTCTTGTTCCTCTGATGTATTCTTTCCTACATGTAAATTACACCTTAATTTAACATCCTAGTTCAAGCAATGTTACATTGTTTTTGGAATGTTTGACCTGCTGAAATCCATGGGCCTTCTAAAATGAGGAAAGGGAGTTAATCTTGACTTACAAGTTCCTGGCAAGGCCAACATTTGTTTTGGCTTCTGTGTGGGTTAAAGCTTGACTTCTTAAAATGTACATCTGTACTCTTAATAGTGGTGCTGGAGGCCAGATCTTTGTTAAAACCATGCTGTTGAGGCATGTTTTAGTTAAATGCAACTTCGCATACTGTGTTATGACTGTGCAGTTTAAGAAGGACCGTAGCATTTTAAAACCATTTTATGGCTTAATTAAGGTATAATATCAAAGGACTATAGTGTTTCCAGATAATATCTGCTTGTTAGGTAGATAACTGAAGCAAAGCCAAGGTTTTTAACAACTCTACAGGAACCCTTGATTAAATGACTTCAGTTCTAGAACATGAAATACCTGAGGCATGTGTCACCGAAGCGTTTAGTGTCTGACAAGTATGACAGGCAGAGCTCGGAGAGATTGTCAGTTTTAAGTGTGCAAGCAGTAAGCTAGGTTCAGTCAGGTTTTCATGTGTGTTATTAAAAACTAATACCCTCCTCTGATACCTTCCAGGACGGTGCTTGGCTTGTGCCAAAAGACCAGTTTGTATAGTAGAACCATTGCTGAAAGAGCAGCAGGATTTAACAGAGTTATTTCCTCTTCCCACTCTACCTCCAGCTGCTGCTGGCTCTGCAGGACAGTTACTACAATTTATCATCTCCTGAGAGATGAGTGTACTGAAATAGAATGACATAATCATCATTTCATTTTATGGGGCTTATCAGTTAGAGCGTTCTAGGCACCTTGCAAAGCTAAAGCCATTAAAACCGATAAAAATCACATAAATTATTTAAACTAAACCATGTTGCTGGGCTGCCAACCTTTTCAGATGAGACTTCATGCTCAACTCCCACACGCCATAGTCTGAGGTCAGCTAGTCACTCGGCTCCTCTTTCAGAGCCTCCCTATCTCAGTACTGTTTCCAACTGGAGTGATATATCCTCCACTCTGAATATCCCACTTTACTTGTTCATATCATGCTTTCCCTGCTAGATTGTGAATTCCACAAATAAGAACTTGACTAGAAAACCAGTCCCTGCAATGTCTTCACTGAAGTATCCACATGGATTAAATTAGCAGGCAAGCTGTTGCAAAGGATGCTCTTTGGGGTAACCCAAGGTCAGAACAGCATCCACCATTCTCATCTCAGACTAGACATAGAGTGGCTCCAAGCTTCTTGGTGGTTCAGTCTTTCCTTGCCTGTTTCCATCAACCTCACCTAAGCAGAAGGTATTCTCAAAGTCATTGACTTAGTCATGTCACGTTACTGGGGAAGAAGCAAAAGAAAATCCTGCTAAACTGATTTTTCACGACTCTCAGCACTCTCATCTGCCCCAGTACTTGTTATCTTTGGCGGAGATGGCTGTGCTTGCAGCTTGTTTTCTGTATCTCTGCAGATTGCCAGGTCACGCTGTCAGTCCTGGTATCTGCAGTCTAAACATTGATCTCCACAAATAAATCATATGTTCACAATCCTTTCCACCTTTGCACGAGGCTGAGAGAAGGCTTGGTGCAAGAAGGGAAATAAATCCATTTAGAAAATAGTACTAGCTCTTCAGTTATAGTTTAAACTATGAGTTCCTCCTGAGACTGCTAACAGGCTTAAAGAGTGAATCCCTGAAAGAAAATGTTTCCAGCACTTTGTATTAATAAAGTGTATATTGATGTTGCAAGGCTCAGGAGCTGCATGTAGGGAGATGGAAAGAAATGAGGGTGGGAAGACCCCCACTGAGGTCTGACCTTGTCTCTAGCATTGTTAAAATATATGGGTGTATGTTGGTTATGTTGATTATTTTTTTTTTCAGCTGTTACATTGTGACTCTGAGAATTTTTCTGTGTAAAAAAGACCTAGAGATTATTCAAATAGAAATACAAATTATCCTGCTGGTCTCAGAATGGACCAGTTAAACCTTATTGAACACTGCATTCTTCTTCAGCATCCATTGCTGGCTGTGTTGTGTGTATCTTGGTATTCCTTTGACTGTTCAACAATTGCACAACTGTTTTAATAAGCGTGTTTCATCCAGTCTTACACAAACAGACACAAAGCTTTTCCTGGTGCACTGTCAGTAATTCTTTCTTCTGTTTAATCCCAGGGACAGAGGCGTGGCCCCCGGGGGTTTGTCTGAAGTATGTCGGGGGAGACCAATTTGGCCACGTAAACATGGTGATGGTCAGGTCCCTGGAGCCCCAGGAGATTGCAGACGTCAGCGTTCAGATGTGCAGCCCCAGCACAGCAGGAATGTATCAGGGACAGTGGCGAATGTGCACCGCCACAGGACTCTATTACGGAGGTGAGTGATCCCTTTTCCAGCACTTCAGGCTCTTCCTCATGATATTCCCACTGCAGACAAAATGGAGGCTCCCGGCCCTTTGCAGACACTCTCCTGATAACCACATGGTGAAGGTAGAGGTCTGCCAGCTCTGAGACTAAATATAGAAAATAGAATAGATAAAACATCAAGTGAGCTGCTTTGTTGTCTTGGTCAGCACAGAACTGTTATCTAAACAGTGGAACAAACAGCAGATTACACAAAGCTGTGAAAAACAAAGGGACTTGTGCAGTTCTCCTGGAGACTCTTTCCCAGTCAGTCCTTGTCAGGATTCGTTCCCAGTTTTCTGGTGTTGAACATCGTGAACTACATACGAGCGTAAAATAAAATAAGAAGTGGTGAAAACCTCATCTGAGAAGTTAAGGCCCAGGTTTTAATACAGTAATTTGGTGCATCTACTGTGAACGTTTTCCTGTGTTTAAAAACCACTTTTTGATATTTTGCCTGGTGCCTCAGCCTCAGCCACCAACATCTTCATTCATTTGGAGTCTTTCAGTCATTTTTAGCCAGCTTTAGTTTATAGCGAGAACATCTTTGTGTCTGTCTTGGCAGTTGGGAGTATCCCAAGTTACATGGCTTTGAGTGAGAGATGTTAGCACTCGGAATCAAAAATAACTCTTTGCTCAGAAGCACGGGGTTTTTGGCAGAATTGACAGTAAACGCACGACTCTTCAGTGTCAAAAGTGGATGTAACTTGTCCCTGAATAAAGGGCATGAATTCCTCTGTGCAGGTTGAAAGGCCTGTTCAGCTTGCCTTGCCTGCCGCAGGCCTGTGTGTCTGTAAAGCCAAGGTTTTCCCAGCTGCTGACAGTTCAAGATCTTACTGAACTTCCTGAAGTTGCACATTTTGCAAGAAAACGACCTACAAATTAAAATCCCTTTGGCTACCGAGCTCTGAGTCAAAGATGCCCTTCCCCTGCCGGATAATTTGCTAGTTGTCCTCCAGAGGTGAGGCTCTGGCGAGCAGCCGGGACCGTGGCTCGGTGTTTTTTCACCCTGACTCGCCTTTGGTAGCCCCGGGGCGAGCGGGTGGGCCGGGCGTTGTGCCGCGGGCGAGCAGCAGGGGGCACCGCGGTGCCGCTGGCGGCGGGGGGGAGATGGGGGGGTCGCAGTGTCCTGGGCTGTTGGGGAGCATTAATGGTCTTTACAAGGGGGTTACAGCCCTGGCAGGGGACTGGGGGGCCTTCAGCAAGTTGTATTTTTGGAAGGTCAACCCACCCCCCTGTCTTTAATTGGGTTGTAAAATGCAAACTAATGAGCCCCAGCCCCGTTCAACCTGGAGAGGGGCTGGAAGGAGAGCTTCAGCGAGTTAATGCTGCTTGAGGAGCCTTGGTGGTAAAACCCAGCAGGCAGAGGACCTGCTGTCTGCTCCCTCAGGCCACCAGTGGCAGCACAAAAGAGCCCCTTGTAGGTTAATGCTTGATCGCAGAAAACCTGGAAACAATTACGTGTGATGTGAGGTGCTGTTATTAGATCTGCTGAGATAAGGTATTGCTGCTGTTCTTTTTAATTTGCCCTCTCCATGCAGCAAAACAAGACTGGAGCACATTTAATGGAGAGGTGAGGGGGGAGGGAAGCAATAAAACTGAATTTGGGTACATACCAAGAAATGTAAATAGGCCATAATGTTTGCATGAAGTGTAAATGAAACGGTAAGTAAAATAACAGTCTTATCTATGTACAAGAGACAGACGCGCATTAGGTAAGAACTGTAAATATGTTCCTTATTCTAACCAGTAGTTTGCAAATTTATGTAATAGTCTACCAAGCTTGAGTATCTTATCCACCTACTGTGAATGTTTTGGAACTGGAATGGAGATATTTTGCAGTGAATTGTCATAAACAACAGAAGGGTGACTTAAAGGTAGTTTACTTTAATAGCCAAGCCTTTCAGAGCTCAACAAAAAGCATTGCCTTGTCTTTACCATCAGAGTAGAAGATTGGCAGTGATATCTCCTGGCTCTCATTTCAGTCTTGCTGCCTAGCCTTGGATTAAGTCATTTAAGGTTTTCTTTTTTCAGTGCATTCTATTGGTAATCTGAAGTGTGGAGCTTCAAGTTGTCAAGTTTTATGTATTCTTAGCTGGTTCATGTAAGTTCAGAAGGAGTAGAACTTGCCTGGTTTTCTTGAAAGCTTGGATACTAAACTAGTGTTTAATCAGTACTTCTGATGCTTCACAAAAATGTATTTTAAACAATCAGTCTTTTTTCTTGCTGTTGTAAAGGATAGAATTTGTGTTCTGTTTTTCTCCTTCTGCCCCCTTCTTCATTAACTCCACCTAGTGACAGCCCGAGTCTCTTTTTCCACAGATGTCATCTGGGTGATCCTCAGCGTGGAAGTTGGAGGACTTCTAGGTGTAACACAGCAGCTGTCATCCTTTGAAACAGAGTTCAACACGCAACCACATCGCAAGGTAGAAGGAAACTTTAACCCATTCGCCTCTCCACAGAAGAACAGGCAACCAGATGAAAACAACCTAAAAGACCCTGGGGGTTCCGAGCTAGGCACAATCAGCAAAAACACATGGGGGCCTGCTCCTGACCAAATCGAACAAGATCAGAATGGACTGTCACAAAACTCTGTAAATCTCTCCCCCAGCAGTCACTCGAACAACTTGTCGGTAGTGACATACAGTAAGGTAGGTGCCCTGGGAGAACAGGAGAATGGGTAGGTGATGAGACTGTGATGTATGTAATAGTTCTTCGTTACAAACTGCAAAGCCCTTCCCTTCTGCTTCTGCCAGACCTGCTAAGGAAGGTTTTGAATTTGACTGTCTGACTCTGCCAACTCCTCATGTTATATTAAAATATTTTTGCCTCTGATAGACTCTACCAGATCCACCTTTTTGGTTTTTGCTTCAAGTCCTTCTTAAAATTTATATAATCTTGTCTGGGTGCTGTAACTATTAGTGGCTGGAGCCTGCTCCAGTTGCGTGTGCAAATAAGTCAAAATATCTCTCTAGATGTGCTCCTGAGTTTTACATAATTTTGAAAAAAGAAGAAATAACCACACCCCCCCAAAACCTAAGATAAACCAGATAACTTCTTTTTAGCTGGTGTGGGGAGACTACAGAGCTCAACATTTTGATCCCAGAAGCTACCTGTCAGGAATAGTCAATCAAAGGACTATTCCTGTCTGTCCTTGTCTTGTTTATAATTGTAGGTGACTTTTAAATTATCTTTACTTTAAATCTCTCTCAAAAGCTTGCTTGGTGGATGCTATATGAGTCTGAGTGATATTTTGACTGGTTTTATTTGCTTGTGTGTGAAAAATGAATTGCAGGATTATTTACAATTCAGAATCCACCTGTTAATGCAGCCAGTATGTGTAGGTGTGTACTGTCGTATGTCAAACTAGTTTGATTTTTAAAATCCTTTAAAAATGCTTTACTGTACTTTAAGCAGGCTGTGTAGGACAATAACACTTGGTTGCTGAATGACTTAATAAAGCCCTAATGTTAGTTCACCTACAGCACTTTAGTTCCTAACTGGATGAACTGCCTGTCCTCTACCAGTGGATCATATTTTAGTGACCCTACTTTGCACCAGGGCTATGCATTTGTTTTTATTTTTTTTTTACTGATGGCATGCGCGGGATTGACTGTTTGACAGACTACCAATCACCCTTTTTGTGTTTTGCATCCCAAACATAAATTGCTATAAGCTGTATTGGCTCCTGCTTCAAGATTCTTGCTCACTAGAAGTGAAATGGATGGCTTAGGAAATGATGAGAAAATAAAGCCTTTCACCTATCGGTTCAAATACAGCCTGTATTAGCAGTGACTGAAAGTCACAGCCTTTTAGTGGTTGCTTGGTGGATAGTGGTGTTCCCTGAGGAGCCAGGCTGTTGTCTGACTGCAGAGGCTGTCTATATACTCATACAGCTGCTCTGCATAAACTTTTTCTCAGGTGCTTTGGGTGGGGAGCACTGCCCTGTGCCTGCCTGTTGTACATATCCTGGCAAAGATTGGTGACAGCTCTTGTATCAGGCTGATGAAAAAAAAAAAAATCAGTTACTAAGTGCAGCTTTGGTGAGATAGTAGGCTTCCCTTAAACCTTTCATAGCTGAAATGCTAGGTTTAATTTAGGTGGGAAAACTCAATTCCATTTTTCATGGTTAGCTTTTAGGCTGGAGGTAGCTGCTTTTTCCTCCTTGCCTGTTTTCTGAGTGCAGAGCTTGGTGATTGCTTCGTAGTTGATTTGCACTTGCAGATGGATGGATGTGGAACTGCTAATATATGCACTTCTGGAATAGTTCCTGCGTAGAAATTCTGGATGTGGCGTTTTGGCAGTAACGTGGCCTTCGGTTTTTGCTACGGCTCTCACTGATGTACCTATCCTTTCCCTTCCTAGTGAGAGGGGAGCGGGGTGGGCACCAGGAGGTGGGGTGTACCAACAGACTCTCTTGGCCGAGCAGTAGATGTGTGTGTCTCTCCTAAGAACGTAGGTGTAAGAAACCAATACCTATTGGAGGTGCAGAGGATATAGAAAGGTCAGCTATACTGTGGAAAAGAAAAGCCAAAAAGGAGAGTGAAGCACTACCAGAGAGGATTTCACTAAATTTAAGTAAGTTGTTTTAGCTAGTAACCCAAAGTTCACGATCAATACTCTTATGAGATGTGAGCCATTATAATCTAACCTCAGATATAGGGTAGGCGGTCTTTCTCCCCCTTTTTTTTTTCTTGTTTTGTTTTGGGTCTTTTGTTTCTTTTTGTATTTAGAGACTATTGTCAGGTGGATTTGAAGTAGATAACTTTCTGATTTTTTTTTTTTTTTTTTATTATTTTTTTTTTAAGGGTTTTTTTGTCTACTACAGTGTTCCTATTTGACATAAAAAAACAAGTTAGCTTTTCCTTTGGACACCATTATTAAGGTAGGTCTGAAGATCAGAGTCCTGTTCCAGCCTTGTGCCTCCTGTCCAGGGCAGGAGGCATTCTGCCATGGACTCAATATGCACACTGGTACAATACTGTTTCTGTCTTGAGTAGGTTTGACATCCTAGATACTTGATCTCATTTAAAATTGTCAGGTGAACATGCCCACCTTCCCTAGTACATGTCTAGTGCTATCACATGCCTCCTTCCTACAATCTGGAGATCCTTCTGGAAAAGATGATACTTTTTTTTTTTTTCTGAAAAGGAGTAATGTGTAAGCACCATCCCCAGCTGGGACTCAGACTTAGTGGAAAAGGGCTTTTTGGAGGTGATGTCAAAAGTATTAAACCACCTGAGTAGCAGATGGTGTTCCAGTACCTGTTAGGAAAAGCTGTATCTGGCCCATCTTCCCCACTTCCCTGGGGACTTGACCTGTACTCTGCTGCTTCAGAGGGGGAAAGAAAATACGTTTCGAGCTGTTGTCTTGTGATTGAATATTGATGTGAAAGGCTTTATTTCAATTTCTAGGAACAGACAAGAGTACTGTGGGTTGGTTACGTAGTTGCACATTAAGATTCCTGGATTTTATTTATTTTTGAGCAGGACCTCTAATATTTTTGTCTGCTTTCATGTACCCAGAGAATGGAGTGAATCCCTAGTCACGTTTGACACACCGTTTGGTGAGATACAGCAAAGGGGATGGGTAAGGTCTACTTAAGGTGTTCAGCAAGGCTTATGTCCCATATTTACAATCAGTATAAGCCCTTAAACATGTCTCAGATCACTGTGGAGGCTTCTTCTCTGCCAAGAGATCGTGGAGAATCCCAGTCATGCAGCTGCATGAGACCGTGAAATCTTTTGAGCTAAAACTAGCACTTTCTGGCATCTGCAGCTGTAAAACATACTAGAAGTTGCCAGACCTTGTCTGTGTTAGTTCTCCCTCTGGTGCAGCTGAGCAGGTGTGACTTGTCCTCTGAAATTCCCCACTGGAATTGTCTTAGCGACACTGGTGTGCCATCTGCTGCTGGATTAGACAAGTGTATCAATGTTTCACGTGTGGAAACATCCAAAATGCTTTTATACAGCAGCACAGAGTACATGGTTTGGACACTCTGCTCAGTGAAACAAACTTTTCTAGACAAAATCAAGCAAAACAAGACACTGAATTCCCTATAATCAGATAAGATGAAACCTGTGATACGGCTGAAACAAACTGAGTGTGATCTTTATTCCTGCTGTAGTGTATGCTTTCCCTGGGTCCACCCTGCTCACCTTATCAAATAAACTGCTGGAAGGTTGTAGATCAGGGTCTGTGTTCAGGGCATTGCTTTACGCATGTTGTTGTTATATCTATTCCCAGTGGAGTTTTTGCATGTTCTTAGAATTAAAGATGTGCTTAAGTGCAGGATAGGATGCTTATCTCAGGATAGGGATGAGCTGTATTAGAGTCCAGATATACCCATGCATGGGTATTTTATTCTCCTCTTTGGCAATCGCTTTCTCTCTGTATTCTCGAGAGAGATGAGGCTAATATAGCTTCCTTCTATTTACTCGCTCCTGTCTCATAGCAACACTGTCGAGGTCACTGCTGCTCTCTTGTGAGTGTCTTTTACATTAAAAGCGCAAGATGCAGTTTTACAGTGCCTGGGGAATTAGAGTTAAATTTCTTAACTAAGGAAAGAAACATACAGGTTTAAATGTCTGAAAAGATCTGAAGTGGATAGCCATATACTGACATTCAGATTGTACTTGTCACCTGTATATAAAAATATATCTATCTCTAAATCTGTTGCCCATAAGAATTGAGGAATTGCTGCCTTCTGTGTAGTGCAGAAATCTGCATGTAGACGTTCTGATTCTGCAAAGATTTGCCCGTACAGAACATTTGCGTAGTCACCGCCATAGCAAAGGGCGTTCTACAACTTGTCTGGTATTAATCTGTTCTGTTTGTTACTCATGCCACTCTTAAAAGCCCAATGAAATATAAGCATATTTGGAGTTCACTGAATTAAAAATCTTAACACCTCTTTTCCTGATGTATTTTTGCTCCCCATCTTCATTCTGTGTGGAGATTAACTCTGATCCATGCTACTTGAAAGCGTTCTATACCTGAGGGGGAACCAAACCTCTCTCTCCTTACTTGCCCTCTCCCAGTTTAAAAGTTGCTGCTGCTTCTAGATGCGTGCTTCTTCCAAACCAAGACGCTTCAATTTGCTTATTTTTGGGAATACCTCTAAACTTCAGACAGAATTTTTTTCACTGGAAACTATTTGGGTACCAAACTATATTTGTGAGTAAGGAAGACGCCCCAGAAATGTTTTCTTCCATGTAGGAGAGAAGCTCCTTCCATCCTGATCTGGTCTTTTAACTGGGCTAGTTACCATGTAGCTAAATTCATTTAGAACAAAGTGGGAGAACATTGGACTCAAAACTACCATAGGTACTTTGGCAGCCACACTGCTGCGTAGCATCTGCAGGCTAAACTGATGTTGCATGAGCTGGTTTGCTTATCTGGTGAAAAACTACTGTGTTTGGATGCTGCATGTTAGCTCATCCATGAAAACCAACAGTCCGTGTGCTTTTGGACTGTGGGAAATATGAGATAATCTGATTTTAGCTTAACTTTGCTCCATTGCAGGCCAACAGTTTCCCTGTTCTTTTATCTCTGCAGACTAAAAGCACGCCATTGATTAAGTTACAAGAGCTGAGTTGTTGCATGGTAACTTAATCATGTACCTGAGCCCTCATGTACTTCATCAGCTGTGTGCATCTAAACCAGCCCTACAAGTGGCTGCACTGTGAGGGGGTTCTTAACCTCCTGGTGGTCTTAACTGCCATGCCATGTTTGCACAGCATGCATGGAATAAAAATTTTTAAAGCGCTCAATACTTTGTTCTTCTGTTTGTGTTCAGTTTACGTAAGTTAGTCAAGAAAACTCTGCGTAGTTTGGAGAAGCACTGACTAGGAGCGGCCCAGGCGGTGATGAGGAAACGGGGACTTGTAGCGTTGTCTGATGCTACTGTCAGTGTACACTGGGAGACGCCTGTATTGCTTTGCAGCTGTGCATCAAACTCCTGTCTCTCTTGAAGTGTACCTTTTATTGATCTTGACTCAGTCACAAAGGTGAAATAAAGATAGCTATTTGAAAGCCTGTGTTGTGATGGTTTATGAAAGATTAACTTAATCTTTGTTTTATTTCTAGCACAGGTGCCTTCTTTTAAAGAGCTCAGTATTTACAAAGGCCTTTAACTTTCCAAAACATTGCAATTCCCTTCTAGATACAGAAGTCAAATGATAATTTATACTCATAATTTTCATGTAGAGTCTTGAAAAAAACCACGGTCCTCTGTTCTCACGTACTTAATCTGTATGAGTAGCCAGTATGCTTTCACTAGCAAGTTAGCAGTTACTTCTGTGGAAGATACTAGAAGAACTGAAAGTAAATTTGCAAAGCTGCAGCTGAGCTTCCCATAAAGACAGTGATCTCATTCTGAGAGTAGAAGGGAATTCACCAAAAATAGTGTGAATAATTCTTCGGTTGAAATCACTCAGAAAAACTGCAGTGGTATGCAGAATTATTTTTGCATGTTTATGATGTAAAATATTGCATACAAGGGATAATTATTCTTGAAAATGTCATGTAATGGAGTTTGGTATTTTCATTGCAGCAGTACCTGAAGTTTTCAGGTGTCAAGACACTATTACACTGTGCATGTTGAATAAATGCCATGAGAATTGCTCTGCAGAGAGCTTGCATCTTACTGAGGAAGAAGAAAGAAAGTATTCTCTGTCACAAAGGGGAGTAAGAGTTTCTTGCTCAGGGTCTGATGTTAAACCAAGTCTACGCTTGATCTTAAAGGGAAGAAAAAAGTCTGTTTTAATTTTGTAAGTTCTTGTGTACACTCATAAATCTCATGGGTAAGTGAAATGCAGTGAAGAGTGGCAGTCCCAAAAGACTTTGGGCTTTTTCTTCTTGGTGGAATTCATTGCACTGGGAGAAGCTAACCTTGATCACAGATTCTGCGACTGTTCTTGGAATTGCTCGGGAGAGAAGCTCATCTAGGGATGGCGGCCTGTTAAGTGCAGTGTAGCAAGTGGTACAAAGCTGTATGTACTTAGTAATCTGACACTCCGAAGGTGAGCTAAATTCTGGTTTTAATTAACACGCGGTTAGCATAATTGTGTAGCTTTAAATTACATGCTACAGAAAACAGCATCTGAAGATCCAGAGGGTTTCCCTGAAAACAAGGTTAATAGCCTCTTCCCAGGGTCCCTCTCTACATACAAAAAGACTAATGAACTGTTCTCATCTCTGACTGAAGCCGAAGCCTCTGGACTGTGTACTGATTAACTGTGTTAATTCTTGTATGTCATGGGGTGATGCAGATGTCTTGGCTTACGGCATGCACAAATTAGATCAACAAGGTTTTACCTGGGACATAAACTGTAAAATACATAAACGGTTCTGCGCCAGCTCCGCTGCGCAGGCGGTAGCTCCCGGCAGAGGGAGCAGGCAGCTGGGACCAGTTGATGTTTAAACCACTCTGGTGAGGCTTGCAAGTACTTGCCGGTCAGTATCAGCAAACAAAGCCTTATGTGCAGGTGACTAAAAGATGAAGCAAATTCTGGCAAATGTGTCTGTGCAGGTAATCGGCACCAAATCCTGTTTCTCTTCTGCAGAGCAGTAAGTGCAATAGCTTAACCCCTTTGAGGTGAGACTGCCTAGGATCTTGTTTTTAACAGTTTTCCTTCTGTGTCCTTTGGGGTGTTTTTGTGCATCTATTCACATAATTTTACTGTTTCTCTTCTGCTTTTCCCTTTCCCCCTGTTTCAGGGACTGGGTTTTTTTGGAGATGTTGAATATCTCGGTCTCTTGATTTTGGTGGGAGCTTCTCCTTTCTGAGGTGAACTATTGTGCTGGAATCTGCTGGGTGTTAGCTTTTGAAAAGCTTGCTTTACAAACTGGGAGTGCAGCATATTCCTGGGGTAGGAGAGTGTTTGTTTTTCCATCACTTGCATGTATTTCTGTCTGCAAACAGCTTCCCCAAGTTTCCAGTCTTCCATCCTTCCCACACAGTTGATGAATGTCCCGTTTAATTGCGTGCTAATCCTCCTCTCTTGGTTAAGTTTTGAGAGCTGCTCATAGATGCTTCATTTTATCATCTTTTATTTTGCCACCTTATACGTCCTGAAGAATTAACTTTTTCTCACCAGTTGTAGCAAGACTGCAGGCTGCTTATAGCACTGTATTTGTAACATACAACAGAGCTCTTGAACGTGGGTTTTTGCAGCTGGGCTTAAGCTAATGAAGTTGATTATGTTCTTTATGAGTCACGTTAAAGACTCATTGCTGCATGGCTTTGTGGCTCACACAGCAAGGTTGTTACAGAGTTGTAGGAGAACTCGTAGGAAACGGTGTTTCCTTTGAGATTTGCCCTGTTAAAGGCAGAATGATGAAAACTGAAGTCAGAGTTTCACTTAAAGACTTTGTGCTAATTGGGCTCTGGTCTGCCTTGCTCATCGGCATGCAGGGAAGAAGCTGGGCTGTGTTTTAAATAAGCATTTGCATAACGGTCTTCCAGCTTTGACAATGAAATGTAACGAGCTTTTCTCCCTCCTCTCACTTCTGACCCGAGTATGTGTCTGGATCTTACAGGAGGATCTTGTGTGTGGTTTGTACCTTCACCATTGTGACAAACTTTATATCCCCGTGACTTGGGAGATCTCTTGCCTGCCCGTTGGTCGCTTTCTTTTGCTTCCTGATGAAACCCTGAATAGTTGATTGAAACAATAGACACTACAGGAGGGAGTTCCTGTTAATTTGAGACCTGTTACTAGATCTGTCATTTAGGTCACTCACTTCAGGATGTAAAGGAGTGAAAATGGATTCCGTAGTAAGCATTTTGATTTTTTTTTTTTGTTCGATTTTTTTTTTTTTTTTCCACGTAAGGAAAAAGAGGCAGTTAGGGGAATGTGAATTTCCAAATCTTAATTGTTTTCTTAAATAGACTCTTCTACCAGTTACAGCCTCCTAACTGTTTGCTGTAATCTTTAGAAAGAGTTGTGAAACTGCAGTTGCTTAGCCTCGCAGGTATTGTAGTGTCTGTGGGGGATTTTTGCTCTTGTGTAGAAAAGACAAGTTCCTTTGTGGCCCGGTAACACCTGGCTATTACCTGGCCTAAATAACACCTGAAAGAGGTAAGTGGATAGCATCTGTCATCTCCGGGAAAAGCAGCCACAAGCACATGAAACCTGCGTTTCAGGGGTGTTTCATAAGGCTGGGCAGCTAAGGTCACGTTGGTGGGTAAAGGGTTGCATTTGGTTAAGAAGTACTGGGATGGGATGGTCAGAATTTGTAGGTGTGCACTGATCGATTTTATTTTTTGCCTGTTGAAATTGATTATGTCTCCAACTTTTTTTCAGGGTTTCCACGGTCCTTATCCCTTCGGACAGTCTTAAAACATAAAAACACAAAACGGGTATCGACAAGAGGAGAATTTAACAAAGAACTGACTTTTGGGGGAAGGGAGAGGGGGATTCATGGCAGACAGACACAACGTGGACCCCCCCTTCTCTGCCTCCGTGTTCTGGATAAAGAAGAAAAACAAAAGCCCAGTAACTTAAGACTAGCTGTTTCCAGAGGAAAATACAAAATCTAAGTATGCATGTGTGAATGCTGGATTTCAGGAGTGTTGTTAAATGCTATGAGAAAGAAAATATACCAACACCATGGGGTTTTTTTTTTTTTAGAAATCATTCTCACATAATTAGGTAGCTTAAAAAGTTTAAAAAATGAAAATGAAAAAGCCATCTTTAAAAAAAATATTTTGCCTACAGAGCGGTTGTAGTTTGAGCAAATGTTTAATTTCTGTTTGTTTCTTGTTCTTTTTTTTTTTTTTTTAAATAAGGGACAGCGTGCATTTTTACGGAACTGTCATGGTTTGCTTGCTACCGAATGGGAATTTGCTTAGCATCTTCTGGGGTTTGTGCAGTGACTTCTTTTTGTCAGACATTTTTAGTGACAGGTTGGGTCTGCACCTAGCTCTGCATTTTTAATATCATCTGCTGGTTTTAGTTACCAACTTTATAATCTTGTTTCTTCTTTTTTTTTTTTTTTTTTTTTTTTCTCTTTTGGTTTGGGTGTTGCTGTTAGTTGTCCTGCATGTCATTGGAAACCATGCTGAAGAACAGGTCTCAGTAGCAAAGTTGGAGAGAAAGACTGGGACTTCTAGGATAACGTGGAGGGCTCATTTCCCTTTCCCTTGTACATGAAGTACAGGCAAATACACACCCGTATTAATAAGAAACAGAATTATTAAAGTTCCAGAGCTGTCCTATGTGGTTAGCATCTTAAAAATACCTTTTTGTTAACTCTTGATGTACAGTAGCTGTGCCTAGAGCAAGCAAGCATATCGGTCTTGTGCCAAGAGGAAACTTTTTCTTTAGCAATAATTCACTTGGTAGTAGTTGCAAAGCTTCACAGAAGTCTTGTCCTTTTTAATTTTGAATCTCCCATTTTTCTCTTAGACTCTAAGTTCGCATTCATTTCTCCTGTGATAAAGCATTAGCTTTCAGGTTAATTGTTTGCATTTTTGAATGCAGAACAAGAGTTTGCATCATCAGCTGGATTCGGCTCTGTCGCCTTGTATTCATTGGCCTTTACCATCCTGACTTGTAGCTTCACTGAGGCTTTAACCTTCTAAATGGTCTCTCCAGGGGGAGGAATTACTACTTTAAAGATTCGAGTTGCTCTGCTGTTCCTCAAAAAAATTTCCTCCGGTTATGGATTGGGAAGTCCAGCGTGAGGGAAAGAGAATGGCAGGCAGTGAGTGCTGTGCTGGATTTCTGAAGTGCTGTGTCACCACAGATCCCGCTGAAGGGGAGTGAAGTGAGGGGACACCGTTTTATTCAGAAATGTGAACAAGGCTGGAACAGCCATCTGCCAAAGATACAGTAATGTGCAAAGCTCCCACTACCTTCTTCCACATCTTTCCAGTGAAGACTCTTGTTCTTGTTGGAGCAGAGCGCAGACTTTACTGCATGGTGTGTGGCTTTACGCTGATTGCTCTCGCTCTTGACTAGTTGTATTTTCTTGGCTGGCTTTCAATGGGGGATTCATTTTCACTGCAGCTACCAAGGACTCTCTTATCGTAGTGCATACAGATGGATCTTGTGGGAGGACAGTGGGAGTTCCTTGTATCCAACAGAGGAAGAATCGGGCAATAGATTTTGTTTGCATTTCAGAGGTTCAGTTGTTAAAGGTCACTGTTATCTGAAGTCTCCTTTCCAAAAGCTCTTTGCTGGGAGAAACAAATATAATGTAAGAAATTACATGCCTAAGAGGTGTTGCAGGCTTTGGACTCCTGGCTGTTTGCACTTGCAGTTTGGTGGGTGCCTGGGTCTCTCGGCGGCTTGCTAGAGCTGGTGAGCGTTAGGAACCCCTGGTGCTGTGCTGCCTGCTCCGTGCAGCTGTAGTGTCTGGTTCTTGTCCTGTAACATCATTTTGCCTTGGCTCAGTTATCTCTCAGCCTTCAGTCTAGGCAATGATTTGCATCGCTGGGGTTGTGTGGACAAGTGGATTCTTTCCTCACTCCCTCCTTTCCAAGCACGTGGCTTGTGCAACAAGCTCTGAAGCCGTGAACACGTCTCTGGCCATCACACCTCTTGTGATACTGAAGGTGTCTAAAACACTGCTGTTTGTCCAAGTGATTAGGTGATTCCTTATCTTTATTAGCTCTTTTATCATCTGTGTAGTGGAAGGGGGGCAAAATTAACATCAGAGTCTGTATGTTATAGCTGGTGCTGCAACCTTTGCCTTTTGTCAGCTGAGGCATCTGGGACACCCTTGAACTTGGATATCCCCACGCTGGCTTGCTTCTGCTCCTGGCCACCTCTGCTTCTCCCGTATATAATGGCTGCCACATCTGTGTTCCTGTGCTCCTCCTATGACTGAATTTTCCTTGGGAAAAAAAAAAAACAAACTTGCATGCACCCCAATAGTTGTGTGCTTTCCCACTCAGAAGGCATACTTGTTCTGCGCAGACCTGAACTCACTCTCTCCTCTTGAGTGTTTTTTGGTCCGTGGTGTCCTTGTGGCAAGGGTCACTTACTCCAGGGGGTGAAGAAAGGCAGGGCCGGATCCGAGTTGCTGCTGAAATCTGCAGCGTCTTGCTGCTCACATCTCCGCTCTCCCCCAGGCAGCTGAGCGTGAGCGCTCTTGTCTGTGGGAACGGTCACACAGAGCGCTGTGTGCTCTGAGGGTTGGCCTTGTAACCCTGGCTGTGATAGTGGAGGAACATTTAAATTAGTGGTTGCTCTACCTCTGGGTTTTTCCTCGAGTAAAAAACTGTTTCGCTGAGGCCAAAGGTGGCTTTATCTCTTCTGGTTCCTTGGAGTTCAGTGGTGCAGCCAGCCCTCAAATTGCTCTCACTGTCAGGTTTCCAGCTTTTAAAGAGGGGGATTTGAGATGTATTCAGCAAAGCTCTCTCCAGGTGACTTCAGGACACTGTGATTGTATTGGTTTCCACAGGGCTGATGCATTCAAACTCGTGGAGTCTTAACATCAGATACATGAAACAAAACAGCCTGGCTTTTCGAAAGTGCTGAATGCCAAATATTTTTGTGAGCCTGGAGTGTGTGTGGTGGCTCGGATAACCCGATCCACGTGAGTTACGCAGAACTCAGGCCTGTTAGAAACGGGGGGAAATCCTTAATGGGCTGAGGCTGGTGAACCAGTAGAGAGGCTGTTATCCCAGTGAGGCTGGTGCTCCTGACTGGGGCAGGGATGGGGCTGGGACACACTGGTACAGGAGGGTGGGGTGACAGAGAGGCTGCAACTGGCTCCAGTCTGATTCACACCCATCTGTCTTGAAGTCCTGAGGAGGAGGGAAAGAGACATCTTCCTAATCCCCCCCACCCCTCTGAAAGAAAAAAAGATAAGGCAGAACATCTCTGATGGTCTTTAAATGGATCCCTGTGTCAGCGTGAGCCACTTGGGGTGCAGAACTGTATCACTAAGACAACTTGAGCAGCCCAGGCACCCTCTCTCAGCCTGGGCAAACTGGAGCACGACAGCCCTAGGGCTACCCCAAAGCTGGCAATGCCACGTGAGGGGCCGGGGGGAGCTGGAATCTGCTGCCCACATCTCAGGAGTGTTGGATTGAGACCTCTCCAGGGTTTGGAAGTCGTGGCTCCGCCAGTGCGGAGGGGCCAAGCCATGCGGTCGGAGAGCACGTGGGCATGAGAGCAGCTGGAGTCTGCAGGGTTAGGAAATGCACGCTGTCCCATGTCTGGGTTTCTGTTGTGTGTTTTAATTTTTTTTTTTTCGTGTGTGAGTGCGTGGGTGGTTCTGCAGCCTGTCTATTCTCTCCGGGGGGAGTGCATGTGTAGAACAGGATGGTGTGTTGCCTCATTGAGTCTGGGAGAAGTCCTATGATAGCACATTGGGGGTAAAAATAAAGGAAGCTTTTTCCTAAATGTATAAATGAATATTTGTATGATTAAATTAACACAGAAAAAAAAAATGTTCTGTAGCTCTTGAGAGTTTTATTGAAACCATGAAAACTTCTGAATCTCATTTTGTAGTTATGTGTGGTGGAGCAAGTCCAGAGGAGGCCACAGAGATGCTCGAGGGGCTGGAGCACCCCCTGTGAGGACAGGCTGAGGGAGTTGTGGGGTTCAGCTGGAGAAGAGAAGGCTCCAGGGAGACCTTAGAGCGGCCCCCCAGGGCTGAAAGGGGCTGCAGGAAAGGGGGGAGGGACTCTTGATCAGGGTGTAGGATAGGATGAGGGGTAACAGCTTTAAACTGACAGAGGGCAGATTTAGATGAGATGTAAGGCAGAAATTCTCCCCTGTGAGGGAGGTGAGGCCCTGGCACAGGCTGCCCAGAGAAGCTGTGGCTGCCCCCTCCCTGGAAGGGTTCAAGGCCAGGTTGGACGGGGCTTTGGGGTCCCTGCCGGGGACAGGGGGGCTGGACTAGATGGGCTTCAAGGTCCCTTCCAACCCAAAGCAGTCTGTGATTTGAAGTGCACCCAGCTTCTCTCTGGGGTGTTTCTAGACTCTAAGGCAGAGTGTCCTTGTACCCAGTTCTAGCCCTGTCTTTACCCCAAATGACTTTAAAACGAAACGAAAATGAATTCAGTGCATATTATCAACCTTTCTAGTGCAGGCAGAGGGGTACGAGGACAGCCGAGCGGCCCATTTTGTGAGGAGGGAGGAGAGCCTGTGAGGAAGGGAAGAGGCTCACCACAGCCTCTGGTTCTGGAGGAGAATTCCCCCCAGGTACTGCCCCTTACAGCATGTGGTTATCCCCAGGGGCCAGCGGATGCCCCTCATTCTGAGGTCAGGGAACTCCTCCACTCTCCTGCCTGTGCGGCCCCAGCCGGGGGGTGGAGGGGAGGCGGCACTGGGAGGGCTGGGTGCAGCTGGGAGGAGGAGTGGAAAGCTGGGTTTGGTGGTGACCGTACTGGGGTCACCAGCATGAAGCAGCGCTGCAGCCACGGCCGGGGCTTCGAGGCTCCTTGTGTGGCTCCTTCCTCAGAGCCTCGGTGCAGCGCGTGGCGATGCTTCAGACTTCCAACAGCAAACGAGACCTGCCGGTTCACGAGGCAGGAGAGGAATTTTGAATGAGGGGAGTTGGTTTCTTTTTCTTCAGTATTCCAAATGGAGCATCTAGCATTCCTGTGATGGGGGCACGTGAAGGTCTCTCCTTTGGTGGGCACTGCCACGGTCATTTCCGGCTGATCCTACTTCCCAGGCGAGGCCTTACCACTCAGGGCACCCAGCCCAAACGTTTGCCTATATAAACTATATTGTGGAGCAGCTTAGTCAAAGCTGTTCTTTTGCTTACATGTGATTTTGTTACTAATCCTTGCAAGAAACCTTAATATGCGTGCACTGGGTTTGCTTTTTAACATTTGAATAAATGCCTGGAGCTTTCATGTGCTGTTTAAGCTTGACTGAAAGCCTTACTGGGAGCAGACATCCTGCTCCCTGTGCCTACGGGTGTTTATTTTGTGTCTTGAAAAGAATGCACCCCTTAAGCTCTTGGTGCTCATGGGTCCCTTTAAGACCAATCTGTTTGGGTAGGTTAGGATTGCCTCCCCTTCTCTCTGCCCAACTTTTCATTTACTAGTTATTTGCTTGAAAGAATCTGTTTGTCTTTAGGGTTGCAACCTGTCGAAGTTTGCCAGTGCAGGACAATACCATCACACCTTCCAATACTATCTCTTAAGCAGGCAAATAACTTGAGGGATTGCTATAATGGAGGTCATCCTACCACCGTGATCCCTGCGCAGAGCCTGGGTGTGGTGCAGGGTGGTAAGGCAGGAGGCCAAGTCAAACGGCTGCCGCAGTCACCTATGAACTACTAGGGTTTGCTTTTTCTGCTTGCTTGTTGGTTTTGGGTTGTTTGGTTTTGGTTTTTTTTTTTTAAGGGAAGCAGATCGTTGTCCATTACAAGTTATAAAAATAATTCTGGTTTTAAGCCCCTTTTTTCAGTCCCCAAAGCGATGCTGCGGTAGGCAGGAGGATGTTCTCCTCTGTAGGGGTTGTGTGTGATGAGTTACAGTGAGGAAGGCGTGCTCAGCGCCCTGGGTGGTGCCCAGGACCAAATGGTGATGTGCCGTGGGCCTTGCTGTGTGTCTCTGGCTGGAGGGTGCCCTGCTTGCCCGGCTGGCCACGGAGCAAAGTGCAGGACCTGCTCCAAAACCTCCACAGCATCACCACAAGCATGGACCCGAGGGCTCCAGCGAGCACCAGGCCTTCCAGGAGCAGCAGCTGTAACAGCAGAGAAGAAAAGGGCAGGTTTTCATGATTTTTTATTTTTTTTTTATTCCCCTCTCCTATGTCCATTAAATCCCATGGCACACAGCCTGCAGTGCACAGCGAGATGCTACGGGAGGGATCTGTGCTCGCTTCAACTCTCCCTCCCTCTGCTCTTGCTTCTCTGCAAATCTTTTGGGGATGTGCAGTGAAATATTAACAGGCCAAGGGGGAAACCAGGCCATGGTGGGGAAGGGGTGCTGGATCTGCACATACGTACACGGGGTCAGCAGTAACTTCTAGTGCAAGCTTTCTGTAACCTGTAATCTGTTGTTCACATGCTCTACCTGCGTGTTAATTGGGAAATACCTGGTTAAACAGAAGTTATTTAAGGAAATCCAATCTCACATGTTTCTTACCCCATTCATAAAACAGTTGAGTAGTGAGTGCACACAGCGGAGACCAAGTGGGGAAGCAGCTGGCACACGCAGGTAAGGACCAGCCTTGTTTGCCCCATCGAGTGCCCTGGGCTCGGCTCTGCAGAGCAGCGTGGAGCAGGGCTGGCTTAAGGAAACATTACAGGTGAGAGAGCTCTTAACTTGATTATGTCTTCCCTGCAGAAATGATACCTTCACAATAAATTAAAAGGCTTACTTGGGGGAAAAAAAAAAAGTTTTTCACCTGTTTACAAATGGAGGAATGGTGCAGCATCCTGGGAGGCAGCTCAGCTGTGCTGCGAGCTGGGGCCACCTTAGAAATCATGGTTCCACCTTCTGCCACGGTGAGAGTGTTGGGGAAAGGGCAATGCTGGGACCTGGCGGGAGGGGTTGACCTGGATGCGGTGTCTTCCAGACGGAGGATAATCTCTCTGCTTGTCTTTTGCACTTCACAAGTTTCCCAGCGGCAGCAGTCCTGGCTCCTGCCGGGCAGGACTGTGTGTTTGAACACCTTCTGCGTAAAACCAGTTGTATAACCAGCTTCCCAGAGGCCCCCATGGGCTGCTCGGGCTCTTCTCCCAGCTGAGGTGTGTTAACATTCAAGCTAAGGGTGTTTGAACAAGCCTGAGGCTGGAGATAGGATGTAATTATTCTCCTTCACCAAGTGGTGTGGGTTTTTTTTTTCCAGCAGTCTAGTGCCAACTCTCCATCTCTGGGACTGTGCTAGATTGGCTGTTCATGGGAATTCATTAAGGATCTCTACAAACAAAACAAAAAAACCTTCTTAAGGGCTTTCCCGCTTGCTGGCAGGGCTCAGCCCTGTGCTAGCTGCTCACTTGGCTGACTTAAGGTGTGTGTGTACTGTCCTGGGAGAGCTGCGTGTCTGCAGCAATGAGCCGAGGGATGCTGAGGCACCTCCTAAGGCGCTTCAAAACTCTGCAGAGCCACCGCGCTCTTGCAGGCAGCTGTTGGAAACACTGTTAAAGTGTCCATAAACCCCAAGCAAAGCCCGAATTTGGATGACTGAGAGGAGGGCAGGTGTGTGGGTGGGGAAGGCCATCTAGGATGTCTTGCCGAGCCACTTGGCGCTGGCGGGTGCCGTGTCTCCATAGCGATCTCCTTTTATTGACTTAAAAACAAGGCTCCTGCTTCCCAGCTGCTGCTCCGGAGCGCGGCCGCTGTGGGTCGAGCAGGGTAGGTTGGGGCTGAGCATCGTGCCCACGTGCCTTCCCCTCCACCCTGCTAAAGCACGGGTGATGACGTGCGATGATGGCCGGGGGATGCTTTACCCCGCAGCTGCTGAAAGGTTGGGCTGTTTCGCTCCCATCTCTGTTCCCAGCAAGGTCAGTGCTCGGTCTGCGAGGCTGAGGCAGGAGGACCAAGTCCCCAGGCAGCTCTCCGGCCGTGGGACCATCCCTTGTCCCACAGGACTCATTGAATACCAGAAAGCTCTTGCTCCACAGGGCTACGGCTCATCCCTGCTGACCCCCGCC